TCACATCTCTGACTCATTCATTCATGGCCTTAAGAGAAAAATTAACTGGTGCAGAGTCTAAGAAAACAATTTGTTAAAAATTTGCTAAGCAACAAAACCTCTCATGTGCTTAAGAGAGAGCCAACTTTCCTCTCCCTGTTTTTTATTTTTCAAGGCGTTCACTTCCTTCCATGTCTGAAATATTTTTTTTTAAATCAAAAGGGAAGAAAAGAGAGGGCAAAGGCCTAGGGGCAGTCGCAGTGAATCATTGGCAGCATCTGCCAAAGGGACTGTCACCTCAGGCACAGTCTGCTAGTCTCTCTGCCAGTGGATGCAGAATTTATGTCTCTCCCCCTACATCTTTCATGCCTGAAGTATACTTGAAGCAGCTACAGCTGTGCTGATAGGGAGGCCCAGATTGCCACAGTGACTGGAGGCAGTTCTTAGCTAGGGGCTTGTACCACAGAGCAGAATGGTAGTTGTACCAGCGTTGATGCTTTCTGTTTCTGAGCAGCGGATGAAGATGCAGGTCAGGGGATGCAACTGAAGTCAGTGCCACTGGCATTTCTATATTGATGCTAATTATGCCAGTTTGGTTCATTGCCTATTTCTTACCAGGTTTCTAACTTACCATCAGTGAGCTGTACCACCATATATACAAAGAGAAGAGCAGCAGCAACAGGATGCCTGGAAGACATCATCATTCACCCTTTATGTGAGGACCTACATTTGGAAGTTTGGAGAGTGAACTAGTCACGGAATACCATCCTGAAATGGAGTCACAGTCGGAAGGAGGATTCCTTCCAGACACTGTGGTATGTGAGGAGAAGCAAAACCCACCAGCAGTCTGTGCTTCTCAGCTCTGATGCTGAAAATACACAGTAGACAACAAAATAGGTTTGCCCACCTAAATGTATATCAACACACCAAAAAGTAGCATACATCACTGTCATCAACCAAGTTTAACAATTTTGGTCTGCTTTACAAGGGATCTCTATAGATGAGGTAGTTATTGTTGGTTCTGTTTGTGCTCTTCTATTCAAATACTCAGTATCTTTGGTGAAATTAAGTCAAATGTTATTATTGTGTAGTACCATTTTGATGCTTTATTAACTTGTAGGCTAGTATTTAATGGGCTAGTACTGACCTCTGGGGAGAGGGGTATCTTGAAAACACATCTGGCCTCCATGACTGAAACTCTGGTCCCAGTGCTCCATTTAGCTTAGCCTGAGTTAAGGCCATGCCCACAGCAAAGCTATATTCAGATTACTGTGTTTTTGTACACATATCTAGAGGCATATTCCACTGTTCTTTGCCCTGAAGTAGTCAAGGATTTCTTCCTGGTCAGTAATGAGAGAACTTGTCTGGCCATTTGAGGGAGTTGGGAAGAGGACCTTGGACTATCAGTAGTCAAGTTATCTTGCCTGACTGCTTGCTGTGCAGTAAAGGGTTCCAGCTCAAGCTAAAGCAAAGGTTGGCCTTTTCCCAAACATCCAGCTAAAAAGCAAACGTGGATTTAAAGACTAAATGTGTGCTGCAGAATTGTATATGGAAACAGTAACAGAGTCTAGTAAAGAAGTGCACAGGCTTGGAACATACAATGAAGAAGCAATCGTTCCTAAGGACTTGAATAATGCCTATCAATTAAAGCACAGTATGCAAATAAGCATATTTTTGCAATAACCAGTTGGCTGCAGCCAGGTTCACTGAAATACATCATCCACTTTCCCTGAAGTATTTTTGATCTTTTGATTGCATATCCCCTATAGGATGGTAGCTTAGAAACCATTTTAATTAAATTTTTCAAGTTCATTACCACTTAGGGTTTCAAACTTCTCTTCATTGGACATCCTTAGAACGTATGCTACCACTACACCTGTATAGGCTGTTGATGTGAACATCAGCATTGTCAAATCTTGAGTAAATAATTCTCTTTTGGATTGGTAAATTAGGATATTCATCTAAGCAAACATGCCTGCCAGTTCATTACTGTTTTGCATGTCCACGTGTTCCTGAGATCCTGATTTTAGATTCTTATGAATTATATTGTTCCTTATTAACTGAGCTGGGAACTTGTTCTAAAATGCCTATTCCTATAGAAGTAGGACTGTATCTAGCCACAGTTCTTACAGAGTGTATCATGTAACTGGGGAATGCATGCACCAGCTGCATACATTACCTGGCTCCCCCTGCTTTGCGGGTTGGTTGTCACAGTTTCGTAAAAATTCATAAATATCAATTTCTTGCCTTCCAAAGAGCAAGTTCTTATTTTCTTGACTGAAGGAAAGAAGAACATGGGAGGTCTGTCTCCCCTATGCTTCTCACTACCCTCTTTCAATGGTGCATTTACAGGAATTGGCATATTATCTCCCAAGACCCCCTTTTGTAAACTTTCCCTACATAGACAGAGACAGACCAGGCTGTCTATCTGATCTTTCCTTCTGGACCAAATCCAGTAAGTGTCAGGAAGAATTCTGAACAAGTTAATTTCCAGTTGGTTTTCAGTGTGGCATCTCTTCATAATTAGTTCAATCTATTCACTTTAGAGCACTTAAATTTGTAACATCTTTCATAATGGATGAGTCATTGTGTGGACTGATGGGTAGTTTCACGTGTGGAAGATGAGAGGAGCAGTTGCCCACTGCTTTTCAGTAGCTACAACTTAACAGCCTCTCACTTTTTCATTGTGTAAACCACACCTTGATAACACTGTGACTGAGGTGAGGGAATGCAAAGAAGTCTGTAGCAACAGCAGCAGCTGCTTATGCTATCAGTAAATTATTGATTTATTGCTAATTGTCTTGAATCTTATAAATATTTGTACTTCTTTGAATAACACAATCTCCTAAACATAATTTTTTAATCACAAACTTTTTCCCCTTCAATTTGCCTCCCTCTTCTCTGATGAATTTCCCCTGTGTACATAACTGATTATTTACTGGTGGGCCCTCTTTTCAGCTGAATTTGTGTGTCATTCTCTCTTCTCTTCCTAAGAACACTCACCTGTGGCTTCTCTCCAAAAAAGCTCCAGTTACCTTTTCTTGAGTTGAAATAACTCACAATACGGGCAGTTAATCTGGCCCCTTCCTCATTTCCTATAAAGATTCTTGAGACCTGCAGAAGCAGCTGGGAATGAGGTGAAAGCCAGCACCATGAGCTCTCACCAGGCACTGTTGCCACATGCTCTTCAGTCAATGAAGTACAATGCCTATTAGGATACAGGGAAATTTCTGTTCTTTACCTGTTTCTGTATGTATTACTCCTCCTGTAGAGTATGTGAAAGCATGTTTCTGATGAGGACTGCCACCAACGTTTGTAGAGCACCTCTGGTAGAAGAAAGGTCTATGCAAACACAGTACACCATGACTTCCTATATAAAAATTACTAGTTCTGGTATGCATATAACTTTTATTGGATTGAGATCTTTTTTACCTCAGACAGTGCTGCATACAGTAGCTGCAGAAGATCGCTATCACCCTCCATAGCAGAAAGCGATTATGAACATGTGACTATATACGTGTTGGATTTTTACCATATAAATAGGCATTTTATATCCATTTAAATAACATGAAAATAGGTAACATTTAATATTTAAATAACACCAGTGTAATAATTGAATGAAAGTTCTCCATACCTTAGGAGGGCAGCTGAAAATGCTCTCTGCCCTTTCCAGAGTGATATATTCCACAGGAGCAGTCCAGCTTGAGAAGCTCAGTGTTAGACTACTAGATGACACGTGCTCTCCATTCCAGTATTTCAGCTAGGAGACAACTTGCCAGAACGGAGCCCAGCTCTAACTGATATTAGGTTCTTTTCAAGTTAACATCTGCAGTTCTGCATATTCCAAACACAGACACTTCTGGCCCCCTGAAAATGGGGAAATGCTTTCAGTCAGCATCATAGTTTCTAAGTATCATCTAAGCTCTAAAACTATGTTCCTCAAAAAAAGCTCAAATGGCCTTATTTCAAATAGGACACTTGAATTGTAAATAATGAAAAATCTACATTCACCACTTGTCACTTATGCAGTTTCATTTGGGATTTAAATGTGAGCTGTTCACCAATATACATATTGGTGAACATATGAATATTAATGGGCATGGAAGAAATGCAGAATAGGCAGTGCATGAATGTTAGTTCTCCAGGTGCTTTATCTCCAGTGTAAATGATCTGATAGTATCTGTTGTTTTTCCTGGTGCACTGAGGTTTGAATTTGAAATCTGCATTCAAAACTTACAGGGAAACCTGTTGGGTCAGAATACTTTAGTCTCCAATGTTAGAATGCACTTCTTTGTGGAAATTCAATATTTGCATTTATCTGGTTTTACTTTAAGTGACCTTGTGCAAGCAGCAAATTAATTCTGGTTTTGACACCTATCTTTATTTACCTAACCACCTCCATTTCCCCATGGTCAGTGCAAATGTAACAAGATACTTAACAAACTATCAAGTACAATATCAACTACTGGCAGGTTTTCCCAGTAGGTGAAACAAATAATACTTCAGTTTATTATTTTCAATATTGTGGGTTTCTTATATGCCAAGTGTATGAGTCTCTTTCCCCTGTCTTAACCTCTCTCTCACTCCCACCCCCACATACAAACTAGTTGTGTGAAATTAGGTTATCAGTGATTTCATTTTCCATGCATCTGGAATGTGAGAAAGTGTAAGGAGAGCAGCATGATGAAATCTACTCTCAGCTTTCCCCCCACCTTGTGCTTGCTTCTTCCCCCTGGATCCTGTGCCTGAGAAGAGTTTGAGAGAGTGCTATTTTTCTCTTTTAGTAAGATGCTATTAATCGACAGGAACATGTATTCCACACAGCAGCGACTTTGATGGCTAGTTCACTATAATTTCCCACTGAGCAGATTTTCATTCATTCATGATTGGTACTCAGCCCAAGTCCCTAGCATTCCCCGGAGACCCTCACCATGCCTACAGAACTGTAGTTTAGTATGCGCTAGAAGAGATGCATTGATGCTTTCTCTGTAGACCTACAGGCTGCTGGTTGGAGCCATAAGGGAACGAGAGGAAGAATTAGCTTGTGTGTTTATGTGGCTGTGCTCCAGTAAATATTTTGATGCATCTGCTGCCAGTTCTGGTCTGAGGGAATCTACCTAGCATTTAAATTTTGATGGGGAGCTGTTTTGAATAATAACAGTGCAGCCGGCTGTGAGTCAGTGCATGTGTGTTGACTGAAAAAAATCTCAAAGCTTAACGCTTGCTGAATGCTGAGCTGCAGTGCTTTGCTTTTTCCCTCCTCCTTTTTCTAGTAGATATTCCAAATAGATTTTGGTTCATTGAGGGGTGGGGGGAGGAACCCAAACAAAACCCCCCAAAACTCACAAGTAGCTTTTGAAATGGGTGCAGTAATGGGTACATTCTCTTCTCTACAAACCAAACAAAGAAGACCTTCGAAAGGTAAGAATTTCCCCTTGGCTTTTTTTTTCTGCCTCTTCTGTGTATTTGCTAAGATAGGATTTGGGGGAGTTGGATAGGGGGGCAGACATGTGCCACTTACAACTAACCCGTCAGTATTACTGTGAGGTATAATTTATAGGAGAGGGGAGAACAGTGTTGTGTGTTGGAGAGGTTTTATGGGCATGAGATTTGTTCCTAGGATTTGGGGGGTGAAATATCTTCTGAAGTGTTGTAATCCTTCACACAAACATGTGTAGAGAGGAGAACTCAGCAGTTTCACATGCACAGCACTTGCAGGAGAGCCCTGTTTACTCCCAGATTGCATGCTTCGTAAATCTACTGGGGAGAGAGTAAAATGTACACATATGGCAAATTCTTGTAGCTGCCTTGTGGCTCCTTTAAAAAAAAAGGAAGTATTGTCAGAGAGAAATGTAGTATTCTTAATCATCTAACAGCTCCTACGAAATCCTGCCATAGCATGCTTTAGGGTAATTATCCAGAGAACAAATGATTTTTCATGAGGAAGAAAAGAGCGAGAGGCTCAAAGCAGGAAAGAGAGGGATTTTTCATCCTCCGATACATGAGTCTTTGATTTACCATGGTGATTTTTTTTTTGGTGGTTTATTTCCAGGGGGGGGGTTGTTTGGTTTATTTTTAGGAAGTCTGTAGCGTTGATAGGGTCTCTTATTTGTTCAACCTGTGCTCCATTTTTTTTAAATGGGGTTAACTAAAAAATTCCACAGTACTGTTTAGTACAAAGTTGAAGGCATTTGGGGGCAGGACTGCCAAATATATCATGTATATTATTTAAAAACTCCAAAACTTTCCTTTTAGAGCCACTTGCAGTTAAAAGTCCATCTCTGCCCCACTGAATTTGAAGCATGTGTATTTGAAAATTAACATAGAATTTTCCAGCTTTGATCAGGGACAATTTTTAAAAACTAAATTATCACATCAGAACAAATCAAGCTGGTGTTTTCAAGCTATCATTCTACAGCGGCTGATACAGGGTAATGGATCATGTTAAGTTTGCAAACAAATATACAATTTGAAAAAAAAAAATGATACAGTCTAGCTGAATGGTTGCCTAGACCAGGTCAAACTTCACTCTTATTATATGGGTTGTATGTAATGTTTCTTTGTCATTTATAATGTACCCATAACGTATATAGTATCTAGGCAATGAATCTCATGTTAAGCCTTTGGAGCCAATGTGTTTAGACATTACAAGGTACAGATGTACCCAAAAAGATGCTGGCCATGCCAACCTTTACAACACCAAAGAAAATCTAAGCCACTTGGCAGGATTCTGAAAGCTGCACTCCATTTGCATCTAAATATACATAATTTGTGATTGGATTTATATGTTCCATACCACACTAGCTTGTGATTAGCTTTCCTCTAGTGGATGGCTAGTAATTGTTTATTGTTTGAATTTACCACCAATAAACATCCAGTGCTTGGTTACATATTTGAACATTTACAGCAGAATTCAATTTTATTGATGCTTGCTGGCAGTTATCATTCATTTATATGCATCAAAATTTCCTTTCTCAGAGCTATCTCCTGTTGGCACCAACATGTTCTCCTTTAACTGTTGCTGGTTAGCAGGGCACTCAGTTGTAAGGAACAGGCTGGAAATAATTCCTTTGATTTTTCTTTGGCATTTTCAAAGGCTGCATAGAATTTCACACCTTTCTGGGCATCACTCAGCTTCAGGTAAAGAACATTGCAGACGAGCAATCAATTCTGAGCACAACCTACTGGATAGTCCATTCAAAAATACTACCAAACCTGCAGCCAAAGGCTTCCCTAGCTCACTGGGGAATACAAGTTGAAATGATACAGGGATGTTTACAAGTCTCACTTTTCTGCCACCTGGTGTGCTTTAGGCTGACCACAAACTGGGAAACTCTTCAGCTTTTCACAATGAGAAGATGCATGTACCAGTTTTGTACACATTCCTAACTGCCTCCAAGTCTGTGGGCCAAATACTTATCTCTACTAGTCTTGGGAGAGCTACAGTAAAATGGAGGATTTGTTCCAGTAAATGGTCTGGTTTAGTCCAGAGCTGTTTCAGGCAGGAGCAGGGAGAAGGTTATTCATCTTGGGCTTTCCATACTACCTTTTAGAACTATAAGAAACAACCATAATGATGGTTGCAATTTTGTATTTAAATGCCTGCAAGAACATGATCTCTGCCACCTTGTATCCTTTTTAAAATAGTCTGGAGACCACTAAATAACCTTTTCTGTTGCAGAAATGAAGATGTGTGTCTTGCCTAAATGATTTTTTTGTTATAATGATTCATAGATAATATTAAAAAAAAACAGATAAATTAAGCTGTGCTAAAGGTCTTACTTAAAGATTCTTATCATTAGTAAATCTATAGTTATTTTGGCAACCTGGATTAAATTGATCCCTGATTTTGACTCCACAATAGGAATAAATCTCACTTAGTATTAATACCCAATTCATCCTATTGAGACTCTGCAGCACCACATACATTAGTATAGTTCACTGTGTAGACAGACAAAATTATCTGTGTATTAGCTGGGCTTTTCCAGTTGCAGTCAGTAACAATGTTCATAACAGTGTTTACAAGAAACAAATTTAATTCAGTGCTTTAATGAAAATGGAGAGTCTGAATCAATAAAAATAAGTATTAGAAAAGGAACTGTATTAAGTAGACACCAGTGGTCCATCAACCATGGTACCTTTACTCTGAGAGTAGCCAGTGTTGCTTGTTTAAGAAGTAGGTATGATTCTTTCTACTCTCCTCCTAACCCAAACACAACAGCCTTAATAAAATATACTCAGACATTTCACCCAAGCAGATAATCAACTGGTGTCCTGAACATAATAGTCAATAGGTCTTTGATTTTTATTCTTGTATCTGTAGAAGTCTTTCTTGTTCACATATTTGTCTGGAATTGGTCTGTTAAACTTATACCATTTTCCTCAACAGCACCTTGAGGCAGTGTGCTCTACATTGTGCAGATCCTGTTGTTTGGAAGCAAACAAAGTAATCTGTTAAAAGGATAGTTTTACCTTTTTTTTTTTTATTCCCTGAATAAAATTTAAAAAACCCAGTTTTTGATAAAGTAGATGTCAAAAGCCATTTGACTGTATGTTAAAGAATCATAAGGACTGAAGGGTTTTCCTGCACTAGAATTTTGGGTGAATGGAAAGGTCATAGAATAGTACTAACAGCTGTCCTTTACTTTCCCTCTCTTCTGTAAGCATGAGATAGTTAGCCCCGTTAGTCTGAAATCAGTCAGGAGGCAGGGCAGGATAGCACCTACATGAGAGAATAGATACAAATCAACATCAGTTCCAAAAATATATAAAAGCCTGTGACAGAACATTATTCTCCTTGGACATCCCATCACTGGCCTCGGAGTATCTTCTCAAACAAAGAAAAAAACTTTAAAAAACAACTAGTTGCAAACAAGAAATCATCTACAAACCAGATTGTGTTAAGTATCATCTCAGCAGAGACTACAGATTCTTATCTCACATTATACCCAGACTAGCTGTTATAGCCCTTATTCCCTTAATGGGTTAATTGTTTTGTTAATTCCTATTGACCGGTTCAACCCACCTTCCCTTCTCTCATCTCCCCTCTCCCATCTGTTGTATTTAAATTTCCTTATATTTAGAACCACTGTTTTTTCTAGTTTATTCCAAGTAGGTTATTGCTTATGAAAGCTCATGCCTCTGAATTAGTGTCACTGCCCCACTTCTGGAGACCTGCTTGCCTGCTGGCTCTTCAGTATCAGCTGAGATGTAGTTATTGGTAAAACATCTGCAGTGCACCTGATGGGTAGGAGCTAGTTTGGGAATGCTAAGATCTTTTGAAACTATAGCCTAAAGTCCACTTAGTAAGTAAATGCAAAGAAAGAAAATAGATATATTTCAGTTAGTCACCTTCCTGGACCTAACCTGTCAGGCTGATTGTGTAGTTTAATATCAAATTCTAAGTAAGCATAAAATATAATTAATAACCTAGTTTAAAAATGGAGTTTGAGGCACTCAATCTCCATCAGTTTTTAACAATTAGCAGAGCGTAGCACACTTGCTTACGAAGATTCTTCGTGCTTTTACTATCCAGCAAATCATGCCTAAGTTTGTGGCTGGAATCAACACTTTTCATTCTTGTTACATTATTAGTCAGCCTAACAGGTTGTTAAAATGGGGTGGATTTTTCATTTTGACTACTTTTCTCCTAAGTGCCACATGAAATTTTAGCAATCACTCATTGTGTAGCATGCACTAGGAGTGTTGACACTTCCATCTGTAGCAAAGTCAAATACAGTATAACAGAAAGATTGGTCGGGAGCTCTTAGTCTAACAGTCTGCTGAATTTCCCCCTCTTGGTGTTTTCACACTGGTGCATAAATGAAGTACAGACTCATATATTCTAAGCAGTTTTTCCTTTCTCAGGCCCTGAATTGTTGGTGTTAGCCAAAATTATTGGCCCCAATGCTAAGTTTTGTTTCTGCTATTACAAAGCAACTCAATTTAAATGAAGTGTTGTTTTTGTTTGTTTTGTAAAAGGAACGTGTATTTGAGAATTTTACACTACTAACTAATACAAAATTTGTTATTTACATTCACTGTTTTTTCCAAATATTATATCTTGCTATCATGATTTGGTTCTGTTGCTCATAATAGTTTTAAGCTAGGAAATACTTATACATGCTGTCTCAGTTGAATGCAGTATGGAGCCTTTACAGCAAATAATTTGATAGTTTCCACATGAATTACAGGAAAGTTACAGGACTTAGAAATGTTTTAAAAGGTCATATTTGTTGGTTGACCCTTCTGTGCCTCTAACTATGCATTTGGGTACAGTATTTGCTGTGAGACCATCTGTAAAAAGCAGGGAGGAAGCCATAAAAAACTAAAAATTGCCTGAATTGCTTCTCTTCATAAAAACATCATGACTTTGAAATTAATCATTTATCCTGATTTTTTTTTTTTTTTTTTTTTTTTTT